ACATTCAGTTTTGTCGACAAAGCAAGCTGCTTTGTCGACAAAACCCTGTAGTCTAGACGCAACCCTACAGGCAATAACACCTTCTGTCGACAGAACTCTGTCGACAGAAGGTGTTATGCCTCGTAAAATGAGGTTTACCAGCGTCGACAAAACTGCTGAGTTCTGTCGACAGAACTCAGCGGTAGTGTAGACGCAGGTATAGTTTTGTCGACAAAAGTCCACTTTTGTCGACAAAACTCAGTAGTTTAGACACACCCTTAGTCAGGCAGCTGCTGGTACTGCTACTCAGGGTGTCTCATTGCCTCCTATTACATCCTATTTGTTTTGCTTTTTTTAAAAAGTGAAGCTTAAAAATCTACAGAAACCAATTAAATCAAGATAGTACCAAGAGAGTGAGATCAATGATCAATAGTACTAGAAGTGTGCTATGAAGCAACAGCTCAAAACAATCCATGGATAAAGAGTGATCAGAACAGGTGTGCAGAGTTGTATTCATCTGTTTAATTAGGAAAATTTATGATAAGATGATGATGGACAGCAAAAGTTTAAGGCCAGGAAAGTAGATTTTGTAGCTTGGACTGGTATATTCTCGTAATAGTTTTGCAAATTTAGACTAGACTGCTGAAGCTCAATGCTGCTCACTAGGTCATCTGGAAATAATCTCATGACAGGAAACAGAATTTGCTGAAGGAGAAGATTTAGTAAAGCAGTGACCATTCCCTTTCCCTCCCCACTATGATAACAGAAGAGTGTAAATAGTTAAGTTAGATATATTCTTTGCTGAAGACACTGGAAAGTAGGTTTAAGATTCTTCCCCTCCTTTTTACAGACTTCCTAGTATCCATTCCTCAGGAGCATGGCCTCACTCTCAAAAGACTCACATGGTTAGTTATGTGAAGTGAGATACTTGGGGTGCAGATAAAATATGGAGGCAACAGGGCAAACACAAAAATCTGATTCTTAAGACTGTTCACTCATACCCCCTGAATAGCAAGTAGAGTTAAATGCAGAGATAAGGGGGAAACTAGATTCAGTTTAAACACCAGAACAAGTATATATCTCTCTACACCTGTACCTTCAATACTAAAGTAAGCAGAGGGGATGCCAAACTAAACAGCCACTCCTTTAGATGATTTCAAAAAGCAGATATTGAGCTATCAGTGTCAGGTATGCTGTAATCTTTGATCTCTGGTTCAATTTCCACATTCCCACTTTTGCTAATTATATGTATTGGGTAGAATGTTGCCAAAAGATAATATGATGAAGATCAAAAAGAATGATCACCAGACCCTCAAAGTCTTACTTAAATGCAGACAGATACAATTACTGTCATGTTCTATTTTATAGACCATTCTAAAATTTCCACATGGAAGTGTTTAAGCAGCTGAGGACTTATGTAACCATCAAGATCATTCAGCATTACACAAAATGATACTGAAACTGCTACTTGCAGAACATAACACATCAGAGCCGAAAGGCTTCCCATGAAAATAACTTCAAGTGAACCTGATGACAGTACTTGCTGGACCTAGAGCCAGTTGAACCCACTTAATTTACAACAGCGTTTCCTAGTTTAAAGAACGAGTAGGGGCCTACCAAATTCACAGCTATGAAAAATGTGTCATTGATTATAATATCTAGTCTTTTCTGTGCTTTTATCCTATACTATACAAATTTCATGGGGTTGGGGGGAACCAGAATTTCTCAAATTGGGGGTCCTGACCTAAAACAGTCTGAGGGATCATCAGGTTATTTTAGGGGGTACTTTTGCCATTCTTACTTCTGAGCTGTCTTCACAACTGGGCTCCTGAAGAGCAGCAGCTATTGGTTGGGCACCCAGCTCTGAAGGAAGCCCTTTACCAGCAGCAGCACAGAAGTAAGGGTGGCAATACCATACCATGCCATCCTTACTTTAGCGCTGCTGGTGGTAACGGCTCTGCCTCCAGAGCTGGGCTCCTGACTAGCAGCTGCCCAGCTCTGAAAGCAGCATTGCCTCCAGCAGAAATAAGGGTAGCAGTACAGCAACACCTCTTACAATAACCTTGCTCTTAGTCAACTATTTTTAGGGTCAGGAACCCTACAATTAGAACACTGTGCAGTTTCAGATTTAAATAGCTGAAATCATGAAATTCATTACTTTAAAATTCTTATAACCATGAAATTAATAACAATGAACTATGATTGTGCACTAAATGTGACACAAGCACTGCCGCCATACAAGATAAAAATTCAGCTCACAGAACAGCCTCACATTTTGAAGTTAGCATTGGACATTATGATATGAAGGGGCAGCCTTAGCCATTCTGCTAAACAGGGAATGTGTGTTCTGTACCCACTCCTTGTAACTGAGGATGATCAAAAATAAGCTGGCCAGTAATAAGTGGAGAAAAAACTGTCTGTCCAACTGTAAGTGGAGTGTAAAAAAAAAAATACCTCAATCCCGCCCCCCTGCTGCAAAGCAATTGAGCATCTCTGGCATCCAGGGCAACTGCATTTTGTACCTGCCCTTAGAACTACTTCTAGCAATATGAGGAGACACAAAGTGTTACAACAGTCCCAGAACACGCATGTTTACAAGGTATTTTCTGTGTATGAATAAGCTGAAGAAATTCTGTCCAAAAAGTGTTGCTCCATTGATACACCTTTAACTCCTCAATGATTTTTTAGATTAAGGCATTTGATGGGTAAAATACTGTCAAAAGTGTCAAAATAAACAAATATATAAAACACTAATTTGTAAGAACAGTAAAAAGAGCAAGACTTTATGGTCTTTAGAGTTAGCCTTAGAATCTTATGCCTCATTACAAAAAATAAGTTGCTTAACTGAGTTACTTTAATTCAGAAAAACGTGAAGCCCAATGATGTTCTAAATTTTTTTTTAAATGATAGCATAATGCAATCAAAAAGGTAGGCCATCACCTACAGCAGGGCATTCTTGCTGGAATATTGACACTGTTTCACTGGTGAAATAAGAGGTCAGACATATTACTGTATTAATGAATTGCCAAACCTAAGTTCTTCAAAGTCTTTCCTCAAGGTCTCTTAAATTAACATAATATACAAATATTGCAAGAAGGTATATCTGTGTTGGTCCCACAATAGCAGAGACAAGACAAATATTTTATTAGACCAACTTCTGTTGGTGAAAGGGACAAGCTTTTGAGCTTATGCAGACCTCAGAATTTGAAAATACATTACCCCATGCAGCCCATTGAGGTTCTATGTATGACCTGAGACACATTTTATTTACGGTTGCCCATTCATGGAGCTGCTGGATTCCGCTGGTTTGCACCTGTGTATATTATTTTTTCCTACCAGTATTACTAAAGACACGCACTTAAAGCAAGGGCATAGAGCGGTGTATGCACTATTTGCATACAACATTGACTATGAGACCTGTGTGCTTCTTCTGCATCCAACTTGTTACAGTTCAATTGGCACACCTTGCAAATTTTAGATATGCAAGTTCAGTTAGCAAAACTATCCTATCCTGGGAGATTATCTTGGTCACATCTTGCAGCCCACTGAAATGGAAGGCCACTCACGCAGCACATTCACTAGCGTAGTTTTGCCCATTGCTGTTCTATGCAAATAAAAAAACCCTATGCCAGATTCTCTACAGAATTTAAATCAATGCCGAAAATTAAGTTTCTAGCCCTTCTGGTAGCAAACCAGAACTATACATTTGAAGTTAAAGCCAGTTACCTTTGCTATTATGACTCTGAAGACAGAGCAGCCCCAGGTCTCTGCTACTACTGCTTGTTCAGAACTTTTCCACCAAGCAGCAGAATAAAACAACAAGACTTGCCAGGTTTATGAGTGCTATTCAGAAGTCTTCAGGAAACAGAAAAGCTGACAAGAATCATGCTGGGACTAATCAAAGTAATAAGCAGCAACAAGTGCTGGCACTAAGTTATTTATAGATGGAGAGGTCTCAGAAGTAGTTGGGAAAATGTAGAGTAATAAAGACCTTGTCAACTCACTCCCTATTCACTATGACCAGGAAGCTGTGGAAGAGGAAGAGAGAACTTCTTTTCCCTTGAAGGGGAAAGGAGAACAGCTATAGTTAGATATAATATATGGAGACCCAGTCATGAGACAGAATCTAGATATAACACAGCATTTGAGGGTAGCAGAATGCATTCTCACTAGATCTAGTGTTCCTACCCAATGGTTTTAACACCATGTCATATTTATTAACTGCTTCTAGCTTCCTGATTATTAGTAGCTTTCTTAATGTCCTGTGTATGAATTAACTTTTTCAGAATTATCTGTAGTTTTACAAATCCAGAAGCTTTACTTTGTATTACAGCCCACAATGAATCATCCTTGTTGCATTAAGTAAGTTTCCCCAGCCCTATGTAATGGTATTTTAGCTAGTATGTGCAAGAAATTGAGCCCTATGGGACAGCATGTAAGCAGTTAAAAAAATACAAGTAGAATTAAACTCTGGGCACCATAACAGACAATAAGTATCTCATTTAAATTAAAACAGAGAATCATAGTATCTGGTATTCCATGATGTCTTTAAAAGTTTAAAGGATGGTCAATATGATTGAACCTGGCAGCCAGGATGACACCTGGAAATAAATTCCCCAGTCCAACATGAATAAGTCAACCCACTTAGTTTTCAAAAGATGCTTACAATAAAAACAAATTCTAATATCTACCCACTTCAGGCATCTCATACATGAAAACATGAAACAAAACAATCAAGCTAGGAACTGGAGGCAGATAAAAAGGACTATCACTCTCAGTATGCTGCTTCATAATAAAAAAAAAATGTTTAAAAATTAATGAAACCCACACCAGTTTCACTACAGCATCACCTCACCCTTAGCATGGCATTGTCATCTATAATGGCTATCTTGAGTCCACAACTGAATTTATACACAGATGGAAAAAAAAAGATATGATTTATTCATAAATAAATCAAATCTCAATCACTCTCTTAAGGGACATTAACCAATAGCTAAGCATGACAAACTCTCCACACAAACCTTCACTGGAGACCACAAGCACTGCCTCTTCCAGGATCTTGAGACATGGTTTCATAATACTAATACAAATCCCTTTGCGGAGCTTTGTGTTGGAAGAGAAGAGAGTCGATAAATTCATCAACCCCTAAGACTTAAATTGTTCTTGGCTCTGTTTAATAGCTTTTCTGTCAATAAGTTTAATCTGTCCCTTCCCACCCACAATAAGTTTTCTGAATGTGCATTCATGCAAAATACTTTACCTTTACAGCTTGTAGTTCTTCCCCACCCTCCACAATAACTCTGATCATCCTCATGCCACAAAGTGCCATCCCCTCTCTGGTAAGCACAGTCACAAACAAGACAGGATTTAGCCACTACCACTGGCTGGAGTAGCAAAACACAAAGAAAATCAGCGGCAGTGATGCCGTGGCGCTGCTGCTGCACAACAAATGATAACGCCACTGACAAGCCCCTTATGCGGGGGCCAGGACCCCTAAACAGCCTCTACGGCATCCTCCCAGCTCACAAGGAATAGCAGCCGCTGACACTGCGGGGGCTCTGGATGCAGACACAGGTCAACAGCCGTGCTGGGGGCCTGAATCAGGGAGATGCTGAGGGAGCCATAGGTGCTAGAAGTAGGGGTGCTGCAGCACAACCAGGTTTGCAGTGGTTTTCATTATATGCAGAGTTTACAGTTTGAGTCAATGGCTCTCAGCATCCCCCCTGTACAAATTGTTCCAGCACCTCTT